TCCTATTGTATCTGATTTTATATGTGTCGTTCTTAAAATTTCCAAAAGAAAGATACTATTTTTTAAAATGTTTTTAATTTACAGATTAAAAATTCTTTTCCTTTTTTTCTTCGTGCAGGAACAGAGTTTGAGGGTGCTGTGATTGCATTATTTCATCTTCTGGCTACACGAACTGACAAAGTCCGGGCTTTGCGGGAGGCTTTTTACCGACAGAATTTGCCCAATCTCATGAATCTGATTGCTACAGTATTTGTATTTGCTGTAGTCATATATTTTCAGGTAAAATGAGAAATTCCTTATAGTACCTCTGCAACTGCATAGGTAGAAGTGCATGGACCCTAGACACTGCAGTCATTGGGAAAAAATGCAAAAGTTAAACTAGAGTAACTGAAGTAGTTTAGCTTTGAGTAAGGACCTCTCTTTATTTCAATATTGTTATTTCGGTAACATACATCTGTGACAGTACAGCTGTTAAATTTTATAGCCAGACGTACTTGTACTCAGGCAGTGATGTAATCACACATTCCATTAAATGTCATACACACTATGAGAGTATTTTCACTATAACTGGATTCTGGAACTGCAGTGGTCGTATCACACAAATAATATACTTGATATTCATAGTTGACTTTAGCTCTGTCCAAAGGTATTCTTTTAAGAACCTTGTTTCTTTGGGGTGTGCATGATACAGATTTGTTCTAGAAAACACCCATGTAATTAATGCATAGCTTACTGTCTTTTCCCTAATTTTCTTGAAATACTTAGCTAGTGTTCCTTTTTAAATTTAAGTATTTACTAAAATGGACACTAAAGGAGATCCATATGGTGATTTTTTTTTTCTTTTTTGTGTTTGTGTGTGGCTAAAATGTGATTTTTTTTTTTTTTTTTTTTTTTAAGTCAGAGTGCTGGCAAAAAAAAAGAATTATCTGGTTTTCAAATCTATGTGGCATTTCTTGGGTCTACTCAGGTAGGAGCCTGCCCCAGAAAACAGAAGGCTGGCTTGCCACACACAAGTCTGCTGTTAACTGGCTAGTTAAGTTAAAAGCCATTAAAGGCTTTTATCAAACCCTATTCTATAAAGTGTATTTGGGAGGGATATAATTTAGCAGATGAGAGATAATGTTTATGTAAGAAGAATGTAATACAACCAAGCAGTAACACTTTTATAAATCTGTAAAATTTGTAATCTAGACTAGCAGAAAGCCTGTCTCAGACCTCGCACTACTTGTTTAACTAGCAAGAACTCTGTGGTCAGGAATAGCTTTAGGCATACTAGGAATACCTTGTGTCTTGGAAATAAGCTTGGTGCATTTGTGTTCTTTCCCATAGGGATTTCGTGTTGATTTACCTATCAAGTCTGCACGATATCGCGGACAGTACAGTAGCTATCCTATCAAGCTCTTTTATACCTCCAACATTCCCATCATTCTGCAGTCTGCCTTAGTTTCGAACCTCTATGTCATTTCCCAGATGTTGTCTGTTCGTTTTAGTGGCAACTTCTTGGTGAACTTATTAGGACAGTGGGCAGTAAGTATTTTACCACTTTTTTTAACTGCACATATGTTACTTCATTGTGAAACTTTGGTATTTAACCAGCAGAAAACTGGAAGACTTACTTTTTAACGTTTATATATAAAAGCTGTTTTAAACATCAAAGAGGAATTCCTCTTTAACAGGATGGGAATGCAAGAGATCTGTGAGAAATAGCTAATTGCCTTTTTCTTCCCCTCTCACAGGATGTCAGTGGCGGTGGCCCTGCTCGCTCTTATCCTGTTGGTGGCCTGTGCTACTACTTGTCCCCTCCAGAATCCATGGGTGCAATATTTGAGGATCCTGTCCATGTAATAGTTTATATAATATTTATGTTGGGATCCTGTGCGTTCTTCTCAAAGACTTGGATTGAGGTGTCTGGGTCATCAGCAAAAGATGTAGGTGTTCTGATAAACGTGCCTAAATGTTTTCAAACCCTGCCTCTAATTTAGAACTGACTAGCTACTAACTGATCAGTTATTACTCTGACTGAATATTGGGTGACTATGAAACACCGCAGCAGTTTCATAAAGTTATGTTTCTTGTAGGTTGCCAAGCAACTCAAAGAACAGCAAATGGTGATGAGAGGCCACAGGGATACTTCAATGGTTCACGAGCTTAACAGGTAAGGAAAGGCTGACTTCCAGCGGTGCTGCTGTACTGGGCGGTTCAGAGTGCTGGGGAGGTGTCAGCTGGAGCAGATACTCTCGGAAAAAGCTCTTTCCACTCAAATGTCAAGATTCTTCCCATTCAGCTGTCGCCTTTCATAGTAACGCAGAAGATGTTTATAGCAGTAGGTAAGAGATTAACCTGCAGTGTCTTTTGTTTAAGTGGCATAATGAGGGAACTTGGGTTGAATCTCTTCCATGTTTGTAAAAGGAAGATACCTTGATTTTTACAGGTGTTTAAGTTACCATTACTGAACTAAGATGACACTACAAAAGCGGTATTTTGTGCAGTATTGCAATGCCTGCAGATCTATATTGAAAGGTAGATTTATCCCTACGTATTTAAGTCAAAGCAGTTATTCTTGGTCCTGTGGAGGTTACATAGCGTGCATATACTTTTATACTTCTAACTGAAAAGCTTTGCCAGTGTTCAGTTATTCACACAGCTTTCCTATCAGTGAATATTTATTTTAGTTTTTACTTTGTGCAAATATGGAAGATAGTAAGAGCTAATGGCAGAGTTGCATTTGCAACGCTAAATTTGTTGCTCGATATTCTAGTTGGTTGTTTCAGTAGTAGGTGTATTGTTAGAATCCTTGGATGAAAATTCATGATTATGAGTACTTTTTTCTTTTGTCTTTTTTCCGTTGGTACAGGTATATCCCTACAGCAGCTGCGTTCGGTGGTTTGTGCATTGGTGCCCTTTCAGTATTGGCTGACTTTCTAGGAGCCATTGGGTCCGGCACTGGCATTCTGCTTGCAGTCACTATTATTTATCAGTATTTTGAAATATTTGTAAAAGAACAGGCTGAAGTTGGAGGAGTAGGTGCATTATTTTTCTAGATGTCCAAATATTTCATGGTTTGTGTGAAAGGGAAAGTATTTTGACAACATGCGTCATTTAGTCCAATAATGCTATTTTCTTTTTACTCGTTTTAAAGTGCTACGTGTCCCATTACTGTAACGGGCATTGAGCAGTGCCTGTGCGCAGCATTAGTACCAGCTGCCTTAAGAATAAAGTTTACATTATCTTGTTTAAGTATTATCTAGTGTTGCCTGTAATGCTGGAAACCAATTCATCTACCTTGCTGTTCAAACACTACAGTGAGATGGTAAAATGTATCAGTTTGATATCGGTAAACATTTTTGCACACAGCATTAAAATGTTAAATTTATTTCCCTGTCCTTAATAGGAAGAAATAAAATCTGAGTTCAGATTGCCACGTGCCAGTATTCTTGACAAAATTTATTTGTAGCCGGTATTTTACATTCTTTTTTTTTACACTTTTTTAACTTGCATTTCCCCATCATTGAACTCCACACTCCTTATTCCTTCGTGGTGTCTCCACCCAGGCACCTTTCTCTTAGCTGTAAGGTTGGACAAGCAAACATTTTACCAGAGACTGATACTCATGTCACCTGTGAACTGGTTCTGCGGCGGATTTGCTGCGTCGCCAGGCCTCGGGCCCTTCCGTGTCTTGCCTGGGCCTCCTGTGAGACGGCACAGTAGCTGCCGTCACGCTAGCAAGTCAGCCCAGAAGTTTTGTTTAAACATGTACTTGTGAAAACTGTGCCACTGGAACTTCATGTCCACTTTGCTTTTGTGAGTCTGAAGAGCAAGGCCTGGTTCCTAAAGCAATGTTCATCGAAGGGAAAGGGGATAAAATTTATTTATGTTGTCGCACTTTACAGTGGCAATGTAACAACTGTAAACGTTAGACAATAAACTTATTTAATTAAGCTCTCTCCTGTGTCTTATCTGTGCAAGATGTAATTCATATGCAGTTTTTGATCATTTCTAAAGTGCTTTGTTAGTGAGGTAGGTCTGAAGGGCTCCTTTTTTTTATCTTTATCCTTCCTCTTTCTAGAATATAATTCTGATGAGTTTTTAGCAGCCTGAATTAAAAAACAAATCTCACAATTCCTCCCCTTAAAACCATTGAGCTTTTCTGCTCAGCTGTAATCAATGCCTTTTTCCCTTTGATTTCACATTTTCATCTCTTCTGTCTTCTCTCATGTGTAACTTAAAGTAACATCGTGGTGTTTGTGAAGCAAGTCTTCTGCTTCATTTCTAATCTAGGAAAGTCTTCCTAATTATGCACCCTCATCCAAATTTATTTTGGAGGCAAGACTTTGATATTAGCATATGTTTATTACAACTCTTAGATCCTAACCTTTAAGCAGTGGTGGTGGTTTACATAATTAGAAGCAGTTGACTGCACAGACACACTGAAGGTTTGTTTGGCAAAAGCTTTACTGAGAAGTGATTGGACTGAACGAAGGTGCCGCCTCAGTGCACAGACATCTCGTAGGGAGAGGGAGAACCTCAAGGCAGTGCTGTCTCGGGGCACGTGAGCAGCCTGTACCTGAAGCAGAATCCCCTGGCTGGGCCCTACGCTGTTCTGGTTTGCGCCAGTGGATGTTTTGTTGCTGCTGTCACCATCCTTGTCAGAGTCTATTTTCTTAGACCAAACCAACCGATTTTCTGGATAGTTTAATTAGGACTGGGAGAAGATAGCAACATCTTCAGGTCTAAATCACAAAAGAGAGTTCCTGAAACTGCAGTTCCAAACACTGCAGCCAGCACACGCGCAGTGTCCCTGTGCAGCTGTCGCTGCTCCTGTTGCAGGGAATCACCTACAGCTGTGGAAATGATGCTGCTGGTGGACGAGGGAGAAGTGCGCTCTGCCTTCCATCTGCCTCGTTTGAACAGGCGCTGTTACAACACCAACTACATTTACTGAAGCATCTTCCTTACACTGAAACGCAAGTGCCATGATGAATAGAGCGAGAAACAAGCCATTCTGAAAATTAAACAGCATTTTAATTGTGATTATTCTGTCAAGGCTTGATAGAATGAGCAGTTAGAAGAAACGCTTTTTGTCAGTTACATAATTTCAGATAAAAATATCAGAATCATTCCTACAAATACTTTTTTTTGCTCTACAAGTAAAGCAAAGGACTTTTACTACAAGAAGAGTTATACTTCTAAGCCATCTGAATTGGGCAGTTTTCAACTAAGTTTCTCATCTTCTAGTTTTAGAACTTCATAAAAGGAACTTGGAGCGGTTTTTCTGCTGCACGCTTCAGGGCCAATGCATAAGTATAAACCCTGGCATCCACTGCAAGATGTTCTTCTGCTATGAGTTCTGAAAATAAAAAAAAAGTAAATATGAGATGCTGCTAAAACTTCTCCTCTACAGAAATTTAAGTCCTTTACTAAAATGAAGATGTATAGCATTCCAGATATGAATTCTTAATGCTAACACCTAACGCTATCACTAACTCTGTTACCTGGCCAAGTCTCTCACAGTTTTGTTTAAGATACAGTATTCTAGGATGAGAAATGTCATGAGGAGCTACGAGAAGAGAAGCGAAGGGTTTCTTGAAGCTCACTTTAGTGCACTGAATGTGTCAGAAAGCTCTTACCATCAATTCTTTGCAGTAGGTCGTTCTTTGGAAGTGAAAGAACTTCCACAAATTCTAGGAAAGAAGAAAAAAATTTTATGCACCTTTAATTTAGTGAACAGTAGAGGAAGTCTACCTCTTTTCTTACAACTTGGAAGGGGAAACAAACTTTCTTAATGCTCATCACCACCCAAAAGCTGTGAGCCTTCATGTATCACAGAAAGGCCGATTAAACAGGGGAAGGCAGTGACTGGGATCATTAAAAAACAGGTTTGGCAGAAAGAAGCTGGGAAAAACACAGTGTAGCTGACAGCTATGGAGGGTAAGAATCCTTCTAAAAGGAGACCTTCTCCCTTCTGAGAACAGAAAATACATTGTTGAAGTGGACTTTGGGTTGGCTTATAGTGGTACAGTAATGGATTGTAGATGCATTTGAAGACAAAACCAGCACAAAGACGAAGAGTTTGTTCTTGAATTTATGTTGACTTACACCTCCCCTGCCTATCTGAATCAGTTGTCTTTGGGGCTCGATCTACAGCTGTTGTGGGATTCAGTAATTTGTATTTCCTGAGATACGGGTGCTATAAGTGCAATACTTGAAGATAATTGATGCGATAATGCCCCACAGGAGTTTTCATGTCCAGGCCAAAGCCAGTCTCATGCATGCTTGATTAGGGTCAGGAGATTAACCAAGCCCAAATAAAAAACAGTTTTAACTGACATTTTCTAAGTAAAACTTGCCATACGACGATCACACTTGACCTTAATGTCATTGTGAGCACAGCTGCTAACGTACCTCCATCATCTGCAAGTGAAAAAATAAGAACTGTCAAGTTACAGATTTTGAAATACACTTGAGTTTACAACTGAAAAGCATTTTGATAGCTGACTGATCATGAGTGACGCTGTAGTTACCTCCAGGGTCAAGCCACAACTAAGAGGAATATCTAGGTTCACAAGTGCTTATGGCCCTCACTGAAGTTTGGCACCTGAATTTCTCATTCTGGGTGTGCCAACACCTGACACGTAACATCTAGGCCTCCTCAATGAATTCAGCAAAGAAACCTGGCTCTGCTTATCTAGACTGCAGGATATGACTTGAAGGATGTACAGCATCTAAATCAGCTGGGACAGAAGAGAGGCAGTGGTAGGGGTAGTTCTTTTAAACCCACCATTTTGTTGTCATCTCAGAATTTTCAAATAAATGGTACAAAACTCACCAAGTTTTTGCCGAGGTCTTGTATTCTCAGCCTCATCTCCGTTAATGGTGACGCTCACAATGTGTGTCGTGCTGTTTGACAAACCTGGGTCCAAGCAGAGAGCTGCCAACAAGCACATGTAGAGGTTAATTTTTCAAAAGCAGAAGTCAGGCTCCTTGGCATTTTAACAAAAACTTTCACAGAAATATATCTGATACAACAGGAGAACATACATTTGGCAGAAGTTCATGCTGGAAGTTGTGAAAAGTTTGTTTTCACATGTTCTTAGAAGTAATGTTTCTGTAACTCTCAGCTCTTTTACAGATTCCTTGTAAGACTTGTTTTCAGCACCTAGGTTTACTTTCTATTCCATAGACTGAAGATTAAACTGTAAGCTATAGTTCCCTTATAGACTTCCTCAGGCTGTTAGAGTCTAATTTTGCCATCACCTGCCTCCATCGCTCTCAGTCCCCAGCATGCTGTTGTACCTGCTAATCAAGAGCCAAGTCTCAACTGTAATGACATTTACTTGACATCATATGCAAGTTGCCTCACCTTTCTACCTACCTTCTCAAGGTTTATTTATGATCCTCGTTTTGCCTTCATTTTGTTTTATGTAGGAAGCATTGGACTGGCAACAATCGCGTTCCAAAGGATCTCTGGATTTACTCCAATCGTTCTCTCCTTTCTTCCTTCCGGCTGGAGAACCCGCGTACTGTCACCTCCCCGCAGCTGACATGAGGGTGACCTCCACTCAGACTGCATCATGCAGCTATTTGTTCTACCTCAGCTCACAGATGTTGTTCACATTAAGTCCAGCAATTTAGACCGTTATACTAACATGCCAAATCACAGCTTGAATAATGGGGTTTTGTATAAAGGATCTTAATAGCAAAGTTTTCCCCTATAGACATGAAACTGTTCCTTTAGTCCTGTATGTTCAACAGGAGTTCAGCAACTGACTCATAAAGGACCAAAGTCTCATTGGTACAGCCATGGGATACTACCCTCTGCTAATCTGCATAGACTTTTCTGCATAGATTTCTCCTTTGGTTTAGAGCATTTTAGACATGTCAAGTACTCATCACAGAGAGAATTAGCTTTGGAAAAATAAAAAAAAAGCAAAGACCTGGAGTACATTCAATGACTTCCCCCTTGTACCCAGTTTCCTCCTCCAACTCTCGCAATGCAGCGCTTTCTGCAGTCTCATTTTCCTCAATGAGGCCTGTGAGATAAATAATACACAAGAACAATTAAAAAGTTAGCACTTAACCACAACACCCATCCCGAGATCTAATCCAGCTTTACAAAGGAGGTGAAACATTGTCACTACCCTAATTTTACAGAGGGATAAACTGAGGCGTTAGGAAGGATTCCAGTTCCAGGATTCATCATGCTGCTGCCCACGTCTTCAACTGATCATCTACAGAAGCATGCTACCTTCCCAGGAAATGACATTAATATTCTCATGAGCAAAAGAAGCCAAATGCTTCGACTCTTAGAGAAAGGAGGAGTGAAGGGAAATGCAGTATTCTACCACCAGACTACTGTGCCAAATGTCTCCAATCTGCTAAAACGAACTTATTTTGTATTCTTCATTATCAAATATTCCTATTTCTGAACAGCGCACTGATCTACAGAGCTCACCACGGTCTTCTGGTTAGAGCTACTTCATTAAGCACATTGCCAAGCACATCTAAACACACTTAACTGTCAGCTTTATGTGACTCATCTTTATGTTTCAGTCACTTACCTGCAGGAAATTCCAAGCAATAGCCGTTAATTGGGGGCCTGAACTGTTTCACTAGGACAACGCAGTCGTAGTGGAGAGTTCTCTGTAGCACAGCTATCACTGCTACACCTACAAATAGCGACGGAAGACACAAGTACATAGTACCTGAGTATAGCAGAAAGTCAGTATTTAGTGCTAGATCTGGAAAGGAACCCAAGTACTGTTACTCTGAGCGTTAAACATTTAGATGCCTGCTCCAGAATCCTGAACTATGAACTTAAGCTCCTTATATCATGCACAGTGAGAAATAAAAGCCCAAAATGGGATCTTCAAAGCACCTCAGCAAAGGGAAGGCACACGTACCAAGCAAGACCGAGCCTTAGTCCACCAATATCTAGGGAAGGGCTAGCTTGCCTGCAGAGACTTTGGAAGCCGTTGTACACTCCTCTCATGGCTAAATCATGTCTCTCTTTTGCCCAAAGAGAACTGAATCCCTAGCCCGAAACAGCAGACCCAATTCATCAGTCTGTGAGCTACTCTGTATCAGGGCATCCATCGTGTCTTTGAAATTGCTCCATTGCTCTAAAGGGAATACAATGATCTTGGGAAAACACTCCCAGTAAGGTTCTAATTCTTCAGCACTAAAGTTAGCATTTCATTAGCCCAGGGGTATAGCAAGCTCTGCTGAGCTACTTGTTCCGCATCCTCATTCATTCAGAAATAGATCGGCTCTAACTCTGCACTGTGAGTTTATCAGAAGAACTTTCACAGGAAAAAATGCAAACAAAAAAAGTCACCAACATCTTACCATCAGCTGAAACGCCCTTTTTGTTGCCAGTACGCTTTACCGTTTCCCAAGTTCTGTTTAACACAGAGAAGAGAACAAATGAATACATTAAAAGGAACAATATCCATTTTATTTGTAAGTCGTCTTCTACCCTGGATACTGTCATTTAAAAGCAAAATATACCATCACACAGTGAGGCCCCATAAGAAAACAGCTGGCCTTAGGCAAGCCCTGTCACGTACTGGCACTACAAAATGCCTGTAGTATAATTTTGTTTTGCCTACTTAAAGGCGGGAAAGAAAAAGACATAAATGATTTGTCACAGAACAGGCAAGTCTTATAAAAGTGATCCTGGAAAAGTGCAAAATAAAGCAATTTATATATTAAGCATGTCAGACTTTGAAAGACAGTTTTGTAACAAGACCACGTGCATTCTATCTTTTATCTTGCTTTTGCATAAGGTTTATAGTGTAAGTTATTGTGACCTCTCAGCTCAGTTATTTGAGCACATGAGGAGTGCATAGGCAAGGAAGACCAAAGCTTCTCTCTCAAAATAAGCAACGGTATGAGTAAAAACCAAAAAATCCACCAGCAATAAAAATCCTTTCACAAAAGCTCCAATCTTTGCTATTTTTTAAAAGGATATTTTGCTCATGAACTGGGAGGCACGAGAGAAAGCAATCAGTGCATTAAGAGGAAGGAAGTAAAGCCATGTTGGCACATCTAGATAAATACAGCAAAACTAAAGCATAGAAAAGAACTGGACAGGCGTGATAATGTACAAGAGGACAGTAACTTGTCAATAGTACGCAAGATCCAGCACCATCAGCAGGGAAAAAGAAGCCCTTAATGAAGAACCAGAAAAGCCATGGGATGCATTCTCTGAATCATCACAGTCTATTTGCATAGCTAGAACTTGCTTCTGCATAGCGTCTTTACAAGGAACAGAAAATGCAAGGCAAACCAGGGTCCAATGTGCCCAAAAGAATTTAGGGGCCAAATTTGATCCCACGTGCTAGCACATCTGCAAGAGTAAGACTTTTTTTCTCTGAACAGTACAAACTATAAAGGAATTGCACAATGAATAGATCTCATTTCGCGTTGAGTAATGGGTTTGTAATGCTCATATTCTCTAGCCTGGGGCTAGTCTGTACAATTGGGAACATTATAGGAATCTGAAATGCCAGAGAGACAATTACCTGGTTTTACCAAAGGGATCAGTATAAGTTGTTTCTTCAAGCTTCAACCATTTTCTTTCTACAATTACCTAAAATAAAGAAGTCTTTGTTAAATACATTGTAAGATTAATCCCAAAGATATTTGGAGGCTAAGGGGAGAAACAACACAACTATTTTTGTATTCTTTTGAAGACAAAATTCTCAGCATCAGAATACATGCAGGAACATGCAATAACATTCCTGTAGCTATTAGGGAAAAAACCAGTTACTCCAGGTTCTTGAACAGGAACAGCAAATAAACCCAGTAACTTTTCTTAACGTAACTTTTATAACCATGTTTCAATGATTTTATGTACTGGAAAGTCCTCATCATTTTAGGATTTTGCAAAGGTCACATTTCAGCTGAAAAAGGGTCACTGGTCTGCACAGACTTTAGCTACGCTGGTGATTGATGAGTGCCCGCTTATCAGAGAACATGGCCTAATAGCTAAGCATGCAAGACTGAAATCTAAACTATTTTGAAACTTTTCTTGCCATGATCTCAGACTGTGGCTTTGTGTAACTGCTGTTTTCTGTAACTGCGAGCAGTGATACACACCTGCCCTTTTAGGATTTCTGAGAGCTGCTGATTTGAGTGCTTGGCATTAACATTATTACAAAACGTCTTTTCTGAGCTAAATGAGTTTATTTGCCCTGTGATGTTACCTCATCTTTTATGTAATTCCTTTAAAAGGGAAAAATCCCTAGGTATTAGCCCAGCAGTTTACTTCTTTTAATGTAACTTGTATTTTAAGCTTTGCTAAAGGTGTAGGCAGTCAAGAAGCTTGTCTCCAGAATTTTCTGTCAAGTTGGCCATAGGTCTGACCACAGAAATCAGAAGTAATCAGTAACATGAACAAATTACTTCCTATTGTCTAATGAGACACACTGCTGACAGCAATGGAGCAAGCAGAAGCAAGGGGAAAAGAGGATCTGGGAAAAAACCCACAACATTAAACTGTAGCAAAGGATGAAGTCCAAAAGGTCATTCATGTGGTTGGCACACTACAATCCTCCAGTGCAGGACAAGGAGCAAATAGGGCCCGTGTGGCCGTGGGTCTTGAAATTAAAACTGAGAGATTCACCAACTAGAAAGAGAATATAGAGAAATGAAATGTAATATATGATACAGCTATAACTAGAGTACAGAAGCACAGTACAGCATCAGCTGGAGGCAGAAGGCAAATCTGAAGCGATCCAGGTGTCCAGTAAACTATAACTGAGCTGGACGAACTCACATAATTCTTAAAATGTGTTCTTCAGAACAATTATTTTGATAGGCAATTGAAATAACAATAGCACTCCTATGGCTGTAAACGCAGCTACACGTATTTTTACATGTAGGAGTTTTGGCATTTATTTTAGAAAGTATAGTATATCCACATAACAGGAATTGGAAAAGGAGAGCTATGCGTTCCCAAAAGGGCTTTCTAATGGCTTTGTGGTCACAAAAACAGCAGGAAAGGAGAAGATGAAGTATATTATGCTCATTACGGGTACAAGAAGTAATTCCATTTGGAAGCATTCAGGCATATTTTAAATAGCTTTGCATTCACTCCTAAATCACTGCAGAACTAGAGTACAGGAAGATCCAAAAGAGAAATAGATGAAAATCTAGTTCCATTGGTTGTCCAAGGAGAGGAATATATATACTTCAGCTAAGTAAACACAGCCAAATGTTTTGTGTTAGTGATTTTTTTTTAAACATTGCAGAGAACACAAAGAACTAGATTATTGATCATGGTCCCATATTGCTGCAGCATTCAACAGAACTGGCAGATCATTACCCCTGTCACCAAGTTATCGTTTGCTAAGCAGAAAGGGGAAAATGGCTGAAAGCAGAACCACATCCCGTGTCCACAAATCTTAGAGGAAAAAGGAATCCCTAGTCTGTAAGAAATTAGACCTATCCAAGCTCCAAAAAGACAAAAAGAAAAGAAAGAAGTAGGACACGTCAAACAAAGTGTCTTGTTTTTAATCAGATATTCTTAAGTACAGCTTTTGGGCTCTACTGTCATGAAGCAATAATTAAAAAGTATTATAGGACATATAGCATAAATATTTACAACGGAAGCATTCCACAATCCTCTAAAGTTTGGTAAAACTCTTGATACTAACAGCCTACAGGGTGAGAAAACTGAAAGTTGCCAGGTTTCCCTAGAAGAAAAAGAGAATTTTGTCACCCGCCTCATTGGGTGCACAATTAAAACCTGCAGAAGCTAGCCCAGAAGCATAACTTCTGTTTTGCTAAATCCCCTATTTAGGGCCTAAGGACACTTTGCAGGATGTGTTGCACTTATCATACTCAATTTTAGAATTAATTGTTTTTATTGCTTTATCTATTACTTTAATGGGCAAATAACATCTGCTTTTGCTTACAACAGCCTGCCTGTGGGTTCCCAGAAACAGGAAGAAGAAAATAAGATCAGCCATTACTTTCATGGAAGAAGATACTCCAACATCACACCATGTAGTTACTGAAGAGTTATAGAACCACTTTCAATATACAGGCCATTGGCAGAGGCATGATAAATACTTTCCGGTATTAATCCCACAAAATGACTGAAAAAACTAAATAGCTTAAAATACGTAAGATCTAATTACAAACTTCCAATGACACCAAAGAGTACAGTATTCCAAAGGAGAAGAACTAAGAGGCATTATGAAAAAAAAAAAAAAAAAAGAGGATAAAATGAAAACGTTACCTGCAAAAATACAGGTCTTAATAGAAAACCCAAAAAGCTTACAAAAATGAAATGCTTTATGCTGGAGAAATAGTCATATTAAAAAAACACCCAAGGGGAAAAGCCATAAATATATCCCAACGATGCGAGTGTCTCCTTTCCTGAAAAAGTTTTGTACCATGAAACCTAAAGAAATTACAAGACTGTGTTCATTCCAAGGAAGGAACGCTGGATAAAAGAAACTACATTTGTGTTACAATAACAGCATGACACTGTTGCCAAACCTGTCTTTAACACCAAAGATTAACTTTTAAGAATTCACTTAAAAGAGAATAGAAACAAATACAGGCAGTTAAAATTAGGGTGAAAGTGCTCCTAATAAGCACCCAGAAGTATCTCCAAATTCCTTCCTCAGGACCTGGTATTTTCTGATTCTGTGAAGATGCAAGAACAACACTGCTGAAAAAAATCTTACTACCTCCTTACTAATGTCTTTAGAACAGCAATTATCTAAATTCAAACCGTTTCAGAAAGCATCAAAGAAGGTACAATCCTAAATGTTAAGGCAGCTCTTAGTGGTTCATCACCTTAAAGGAACGGAAAACAAGGCTGAGTTTCATGATCCACTGATTTGTATAGTCTCTCAGGGGTATCAGCATTATTTCTGAACATTGAAAACAGCCTGAACAGACAATATAAGAAACAGCTGCAAAATACAAAAAAAAAAGCTTAAAGTAATGCAACACCAGATATCTCTCTCCCCATTGTTGAAATAATCATACAAATTATCAAAGAGAAATGCCACCTTTTTTAAACTCTCTGACCATCAGGAAGAAGTGTTTTGTCTATTGAATAGATTTTACAAACATACAGCATCCATAGCATTTCTTATCTGCACTCACAAACATTCTGATCAGTCTCAAATAATTGTTATTTAACACAAAACGTGTCAAAACCAAGCATGTTTTACCTCTTCTTTAAGGACGAATTGTCTAGCAGTTTTTGGAACTTCTGTGGATGTCTCAGCTGCCATTTTCAGGAATGTCAGGCTTTTTCCCTCCTGTGCAAAGTCCAGATTACTATGAAACAAAGTCAATATTTGCTTTCAGAGTAAAGTTAAAAGGTTCATTTCTGCATTCTAAATTAACAAATAAAACTTGCTGGAGAAAGTTAGGGACATGTGATGGCAAGTGCAATTCACATTTTCAGCTCCACCTGATTGTTTCAGAGTCAAATAATTCAAAGGAGAAGCAGAAGTTTGGGTCAAATCCCTGACTTACATAGTTGTAATAGTAGTAGTATCAGCTGCTGATACTATAACTAACTATACTATACCCTAACTATGCTGGCTGAAGACACCTCCTTAACTATTCAAAGGTCGGACACACACAGAGACAAAATTGATCCACTTCAAATTGTTTCATTGTGATCTGGGTGAAGTGCTCTGTCAACACAGCATTACCACAACAGGACTACGCACTCCACTGTGGAAGTGGAAAAAAACCTTATACCAACAGGACTTCGGTGGTAAAAATTGTCTGCTATTGCGAAAGAATCAGAACTAGAATCTACCTGCACCTTACACACATCACAAATAAACACGTAAATGACTCAATCCCCCAAAAAACAAGGCCAGAAAGTGACCTGTGTGTTGCAAGTCTAGGTGACACGTGGAGTTAGTCCCTCACTGGGAATGATGTGGCTAACACCATGCAAAAGGCAGTTGAATATATGCCCAAAGCAAGGCTCTGCACCTGTAGCTCAATGCCTCAGCCTGCATCCTAACGCTGCCTAGGAAGGTAAGATTGTCCACTCATTCTCTCAATCCAGTTCTAGCTGAAAGACACACCAGGCAGCAGAAAAATACGATGCATTTGAGATTCACCATTAGTCCCCTGTCTCACTGCGGAGCTAGGGGCATTTTCAGCACAGAAACTCTTATTCCAAGGAAGCTCATCTCTGATATGAAGTTGTTTCAGGACATCTCTGAAGTCCTGAAAACCAGCATGAATCATGAGCAAAAAGACAGTGCAAAGAAGCAAATCAGTTTAAACACCAGGAGAGACGAGTTAATCTTTAAGATCTCTATCATTCTTAGCGTTGATGGTTGTAAACTTTCCATAAAGTCAAGAGGAATCTTTCCATTGACTTCAACTAGGGTTTTAATAAGGCTCTGTGGGGTGTCTAGCAATGAACAGTACCAGAAGTGAGTGATCACCTTCTCTGTCATACCAACTTTAGCACTTCCATTTTTCACTTCATCTTTATCCTTTTATGGTAACATCTACTGCACATTTGTGAAACATTTAAGAGCATGCAGCAACAGTCAGCTTTCTTACATATTAGATTTGCATTTAATTCCACAAAGCAGTTAAAAGGAATAGGTAGCATAAAATATTTCTGGATATCAGCAGGATTAAAACTAACGTTCATAAATCCATTTCCTCAGTATGTATACAGGGCAGGCTCTTTCTTAAGTCTTAAGACAGTCTTGTTGGATGAAGTAGGTCATAGCAGTCAAACGTTCACGTTGTTTTTATGTAATGTAAGTCCTGAAAAGGAACCCTGACATATTAAACCCAATTCCATTCTTTCAAAAATATGTTCTATAATCTCTTCTCAAAGCAGTGAAGCTCCATCTTAAAACTACGCAGGTTTACTATCTACCTTTCTACTATTTGTATGAAAAACTGTTCTAGAACCTCACTTGCTTATCTTCCAATTTCTATCCCACATTAGTTCAGTTAGCTGTTACCCATTTCTTCTTGAGCCAGCAATGTCTCAAACTCTCTTCACTTAGGATTTAAGAGCTGTAGCTGGACAACGGTCATGGTCTCTTCCTGCGACTCTAAAATACAAGATCAAGCTTTCCACCAAACTTATGCAGAAGAAGCGCAGCCCAGCATAGCAGTTCCAAGAGGTTCCTGGTCATCCAGAGGAAACAGTCAAAGGAGGCTCTGTGTGATGCCCGACGTATACAGCTTGAAAAACATAAAAACCAGACATACCTAGCTACAACAAACTTACCTCCTATGTTTGGAAAGATTTATAGCCTTTTTGATTGACAGTATAAACATATCAAAAGAGTAGATAATGAACCATACCCTTGTTAAACTTTTTTTTGATCGGGCTGAGTAAGTCTTCCTCTTTTAGTCTCCCCTCACAGGAAATCCTGTTCCATTGATCATACTAATCCTTCTACATAAGCTTGCAAGTATCAGTGGGTCTTTCTCAAACGCAGATTACCACAATTGTACCCTAAATCCCACAAGCAGCTATAGTAATGGTTTGTACAACAGTATTAATACTTACCTACGTCAGTTACAAATACATACTAGAACCTCATCTCATGGCAGAAGTTCTTTTCAACACAGCTTGCTCTCTTCTGCAGTGGAGAGATTCAAGGGTGGCTTGTGACTTAAAACAACAAAAAAATTATACAGCTTTAGTGGTTTGAATTATCACTAAAATCTAAAATAGATGAAAACAAGAGGAAGACTCATGTAGCTCAGCTTCTGTAGTTTTGATCTCCTCCACAAGTGGGTGCAATAACTCTACGTATGAGTGACATTTTTAAAAGTTCCACCAAAAAAGTGATTTTTTCCAAATTCAGTTGACTGTATAGAAGTGAGAATTTCTGCTGTTAGAAAGCTGAAATACCATTTGGTTAAGTGAAGGCTGCAATTCCGCTACCTCACATTAGTCATACTGCTAAGGGTGGCAACACCTTTTGCTCATAAACAAAATTGGCTGCAACTGAAAATTAAACTTAATGCTACAATGTTATGTTTCTAAAGCCCCATGTTAGGTTTCAGAATAGACCTTGTCTCACAGCCCTCAGACAGGAAGGCTATTCCATCTCATAAAATTACCACTGCATCATTTGAGTTAAAAATGCAACACAGCTCGCACAGCAGCCTGGGAACCTGAGTTACGATTACATGAGCTCTACGAATATAAATTTTTAACAGTTATCGGTGCAATTTTAAGAATATGTCAAAGTGTCCACGTTTACCAGCCTTCTTAGCAAGAATCAACAGCGCTTGAACTATAAATTATGGAAAAAAAAAAAGAAGTTTGGCCTGCTTCTACCTTCTGATGATTTTTGCGGCTAGTATTACAGGCTACTGCTGGCAAATTATGCTACTTGTTCCATTTCTTTCACATGGGGGCTCAAACTCAGACCTGAAAAAGGCGCACCATTTATAAAAGGTATAACTTTATTCCCATTGCTTATTCCCTTATTGAGTGGTTTCCTTTGAAGGCAACACCCAACCATTCTACAGTTTCCAAATTATCCTTTCCAGGAGTTAAAAACTGAAGCCAGCTGAGGACTGTAAATCAACTTAGAGAGTAGCCAAGCTACCACGGATTTACATTAACCTTCCAAGACGTGATAGATGATTAGCTTTTCTAAATCACTTTTCAGAAGTTATTCTCTGATCCAAACTACACATCCCAGCTGACAGCAACCAGATTTAATGGAAGCTCAGCAATGGTATCCTCAAGCAAGCTCAAGATACAACAAAACACAGGGTTTCTTATAAAGAATGTGAAAAGGGACACTGGCAGTGGTTTATGCACGATTTAACCAACACCATGCTGAGATATATGCGCTGAAGATAAACATCACTAAAATCTCCTAAGTCACTTTAAACTTGTTACCATCAGTCAGTGCATTTGCATTTCAGCAATATGATTATAGCAACAAAAACAATTAATTAGCGGAAGTTGATGGAAGAGAAGGAGAAGGAAAAAGTGGGGAAAATGTTTCATTTTTGCCATGGTATTTAGCAGCGTGGATGACCCGCTCAGCACCAAAATATGGAAAAACAACAGGTTCTCGCTCTGCAGAACAGACAACAACAAAGACTATCTTGCATAAGCAGAAGAGGGTTAGCAGCATCTCCGTATTGTGATCAACCTTCCAGACAACTGATGCGTGAAAGTGCCTGGGGAGACAGCCTTGCGCGCCAGATGCGAGAGCGTTTGAGGAAAGCATCGGATGGGAACGACTCGGCCCTCCACGCAGGGACACGCAAGCACAGACACGACGGCAGAACCATGGGCTTAAAAAGAACGCATTATTCAGTTATTATTTGACTCTCCCCAAAATAAAATGAACTGCAGCCCTGCTTGAGGAGAGAGAGGAAGTTCTGTCGCTGCAGAGCTCCGTTATAACGCTGGAGAGATGAAATCTTACGCAAGCGCATGCAAAGCAAGAAAGCAAAGCCTGCTAGGCGGGAAAAACACCCGCAGCTTCCCTAAGGCCGCCCGTATTTTCAACGTAACCGCCTGGAACCCC